ACCTTAACCTTGAGTTGTCTGTTTGGAATATCTGTATAGAGAGCATCCCACTGTTGTACAGTCAGTCCTTTCAGAGCCAAAATTGCTTCAATCACCAGCATGTCAGAAATAGCATCACCAGTTGCCTATAATGTAGGGGAAAAAAATAGGACAAATCTGAACAGTCTCTAATCTTGGCAAACCAATTTCTTGTGTTCCTCCCTAACTCCATCAATAATGAATTGTTTCGTGGTTATCTATCTTTTGAAGCAATAATAAAATACCAAAACTTGTCTTTTATCTATAAAATGTGATTAGACTTGGTACCAGTTAAGGATTTAGCACTAACATTCTATGACTCAATTTTTTTCTTACTAAATATATTTTTAAGTTTCTCCCCTCCTACTGAAATTATATCAGGAAGCATATAAAAATTTTGTTAATATTGCAAAGAAGCCATCAAGCCAAGAATTTTTTTTTTAACAGAGTATACTTCACTCTGTCCATCTGTAAAGGTAACCAAGAGTCCACAACCTTATTCGTTCTCACCTGGTTAACCAAGTCAACAATGTTTTCGAGAATCATAGCTGCTTTCCTTTTATTATCTTGTAGCTCTTTAGCTAATTGTTTTATCTTCATTTCAGCAACTTTACTAAACAGTACCTGCATTGAAAGCATACAGAACAAATCAGTTCCCACTCTGCAAGCCCCGATCGTAAAAGCACCAGTAGGGCAAAACAGCCTGGAGAATGACTAGCAACCCCACCACAGTTCTTTATTATCATATTTACTAAATACAAACTTAATAAACACAATCAGCAGCCATTAAGATATTACTAAGGCTCCATCTCAAAATAAATTGTTTTATAATCCATAAACTTAAAGTCAAAGAAAACAATTCAACAAAAGGAAAATACAAAATGAGCTCATTATGTTTGCCTCTTAGCTAGCTACACACACACACACACACACACACACACACACACGTACGTACGTTCTCTGTAACCTGGTTACTTAAGCCTTGGTCTGCATCCATTTTACTTTGAAAGATGAAATTCTTTCCAACTAGTACAGTTTATTGGCCTAAAGTTTTAAGCGTTTAATTTAGTCAGAGTTGGAAAATGGTTTTCCACATTTCTCGGTTATGGCAAATACTGGTGCCTTGAGATTACTGTGTCATTATCTTTTCTCCTATCTTATTTTTACTGCTCTCAAGAGGGCTAGTACTAGAGAGCAGCATATTATTCACAGCTACTTGAAGCATGTTTGATTGCACAAGGGCTGGTAAACCAAGATGCAGGCCTTATTTAACAGAAATGCAAACTGTATTATTATGACCTACTCATGCTGTCAAGTTGGCTGCATCTCACAACAGTATGACAGGGCAGAGAACTGTGTCACAGGGTTTCCGGACTGGGAACCTTCAGGAAACCGGACTACCACATCTTTCTCCACCAAGGGAACTGCTGGATTTGAACTTTCTGGCCAGCAGCTGAACTCTTTAACACAGAAGTCAAGGCAGAATAACTACAACAGAGATTGTAGGGACCACAATGTCAACAGCATTACAATCCAGGGTTGGTAAACCTCACATGAGAGCAGTTACCAACCTGGGATTACATCACTGAAGTTATAATGCTCAAGGTGGGTGGCCTCCAGAAGCCCAGGTCTAATTAATTAGAAAAAGATGTATTTAGATTTAAGTTTTCTGTGGGACATCTCAAATCCACTTGCAAAATGAGGTATGAAACATTTTCAAAAAACACAAATAATATTGCAATAAAAATAATTTTAGAAAATGTTTGTCTCCTAAGAAGTTTACAAATTTTTAAGTTTTCCATTACTTTCATTTCATCACCAAGGCAAATTGAAATGAAATATTTTAAATAATAATACAGAGATAATCTGATTATAAAGAAAGTTAACTGCATATTTTTAAATACAATATTTAAAAGCAAATATCAAATCTGTGTATTTTTGGATATTCAAAGAGGGTTTACTGTCTCTAATTGAGAACCACAATTTGAATAAAACTTTAACAAAATCTTACTCAGCACCATCCCAATCACTTCATGACAGTGCAATACAAAAAAGTGCCAGCTAACACTACAGTTACAACTCCTTAAGAGGACTTACTGTGCCATGTCCATTTGCTTCAAAATACACGCCAATATCAAACTCTTGAGCCTTGTGGTGCAAATGTTTCACACCAGTTTTTGTACAAAAGACGGGGACCTAAAATATAAATTTAAAGAATTACAATAGCAGTTATTCAGTCAATAAATATTATGTACTACTATTCCAAAGATACACAGCAGAATCTTCTAGCTAGCCCTGAGGCTAGTGAAGAACTCAAGTGAGCAATTAAAACACAGTGTGGTTTTAAGTTAGAAACTTTGAGCATAGAGGAAATAGTTAAAAATCCTTCAAACTCACTGACATTGAATTAGTTTTTTCATCAGGTTTCTGAGATTGTACATCTTACCAGATGGAAGCTGCCCACCATTTCCCCAGGGAATGCAGCTACTGGATTTGAACTATGTAAGAGGCATGGCCTCGTGATTATTAGCACTTTTTGTTACAGACTGCAGTGCCTAGTCAATTCCAACTCCTGAAGATGCTAAGAGGCACCAGACAGAACTGTACTCCATGAGGTTTTTAATGAATGGTTGTGCTGAAGTTCACTAAGCCTTACTATTGAGGCTCTAAGTGGACTTGAACCACTTACCATGGCAGCAAAAAAGTTAATTCTTTGTACCCCTCAGAGCCTCTGAGGAAGCACACCATCAAGACCTTACAGTGAGGAATTAGAACTTATGTAAGCTAATTAGGAATTACTGTGTATGTGTGTGTGCTGTGAGAGAGGGAGAAACGAGAAAGAGATAGTCCTGTAGTTTTATGAGCCTGAAATTAGTTATAGTTTGCAGAACAACTTAGAGCAGGGTTGGCATGGTTTTTCTTTAAAGAGCAAGACAGTGAATAGCTTGGGCTTTTCAGTCTATAGGTTTCTTTTTCAATTACCTAACTGCAATTTATAATATGAAAGTACAATGATAGACACACAAATAAGCATGGCTGTACATACACCAATAAAATACTTCTAAAAACAGCAGTCCGACCTCCTCACCCCAGGGCTGTGGTTTTGGATATCTTTCAAATCTGAAACTGAACCCACTCCTACAGACCACCTTTCAGAACAGCAATACAGTGAAAACATGAACACCCTTTAAAATATGGAATCCTTCTTCACTGTTGGTGGGAGGGTAAAATGGGGCAACTACAATGGCTTCTCTGTTCCCAAGCAGTCTTCTAATGTAAATTTTTAGTGAAATCTGGCATCACTCTGAATGAATTCTAAACTTCAACACTGTTGGGTTATTTATCAAAATAAGATAGCTTCAGAGTAGACTGACTTTACACAGCACAATTTTTAAAAAGACATTCAGTGTCATGATCAGACTACTACATTTAGCAATCAACAGCATGGGTGAAAAAAAAAATTCCACATTTAAGCCCTTTTTTTCAGAACGCTTTCACGTTTCACAGAACAAAAACTAAAATAACCTGTTATACAATTAGTCACAAATACAGTCCTCGAGTTTTTTGCCCATAAACCTTAATATTGTCTAAAACATATCTTTGTAGCAGCTAGGCCCTGCCACCACTGTGCTTGGCTGAGTTCACGAATCTGTTGTAATCTGTAGTTTCCCTGTTACTTCTCTGGCTCTCCTCTCCTGCTAAGCTTGTTTCCTGGCAGTTAATAAAACAGTCTGCCACTGCCATAGCAGCTGCTGCTGCTGCTGCTGCTGCTGCTGCTGCTGCCTGAACCACCACAGCTACCTTGGTTTCATAGTTTGGCAAAATATTGACCACCACCACCATAAGGGCCAGAGCTTCTGCCTCCAAGTTTCCTCCTTTCATGGGTCCAAAATTTGAAAATTGATTGTTGTAATTGCCAAAATCATTGTAGCTTCCACCACCTCCAAAGTTGCTTCTATCATTACCAAATCCATTATAACCATCTCCACTGTCTTCATATCCTTCACCGCCACAATTGCCAACAAAGCCACCTTGTCCACTGAAGTTTCCTCCTCAACCAAAGTTGTCATTCCCACCAAAACCACCTCCACGGCCACCACCAAAGTTTCCAGAACCACTTCGACCTCTCTGGCTGGAAGAGGCACTGGCCATCTCTTGCTTTGACAGGGCTTTCCTCACTTCACAATTGTGACCATTCACAGTATGATATTTCTGAATAACGGTTTTATCTACACAGTCATGGTCATAAAGTTACAAAAGCAAAGCCCCTTTCCTTGCCACTGCCTCAGTCAGTCATGATTTCAACCACTTCAATTTTCCCATACTACTCAACATAATCTCTTAAGTGATCTCTTCAATGTCTTCTTTAATTCCACCAACAAAGATTTTTTCAGAGTTAAGTGGGCACCTGGTCTTTGAGAATCTTCTCTCAAGACAGCCCTCTTAGGTTCCACAACCCTTCCAACCACCTTGTGGGGCCTTGCATTCATGGCTGCATCCACCTCTTCCATAGTTGAGTATGTGACACAGCCAAAGCCTCTGGAGCATGTGGTATTTGGATCTCTCATTACCACACTGTCCGAGAGTGTCCCCCATTGCTCAAAATGGCTCCTCAGACTTTCATCCGTCATTTCAAAGCTCAGCCCTCTGACGAATAGTTTCCACAGCTGTTCGGGCTCTTTAGGAGACTATGACTTCGACATGGCGGCTGTGGGAATAAACACTTTAGCAATGCTTCCTCGGCAGCATTCTCTGGCAGAAATATAAACTCCTAACTCTTAAAGTGAGTAGGATAGTCATCTGGTGGATGTGGGAAAAAGAATTTGAAATGAAAGATCTTGCCAAACCAAATAACCCTCTATGCAGAAGAGACAATTATTGACTAAGCATTAAACCAGAGTTGGAGAACGCATCACCTGCAAGTTGCTAATATGCACAAAACCACAAGTCTTGTATATAACCAGGCAGAAAACAGCCCATTAAAGATGTATACAGGGTAAATTATCACTAATGTGCAAGTAAGGAAGCTTGACACCACTTTCCACACACAATTCATGCTAACTCACTTCGTATCTTAAGTGGTCAGCTGTTCTCTAACTGTTCTTACCCAGTAGCGAGTTACAACTTAGAGCAAGATGTTAAAATTAAAAACTGGGAGGTAGAGATGTACCTTCCATGATGTTTATATTTAAAAAAGGTAGCTCCAGGCCTTTGAGAATCCATCCGATGCTCCGCTGGAGGAGGAGGGGCAATCTCCTCCTGTGCCAGTCAAATATGACTCAACAGTACACAACAACAAAACATAAATTCTCATGCAACAATGAATGAATGGAAATCCAAAGTCTCTGTAAATTTTCATTAAAATTAATAAAAAAAATTCTCAGGGAGAATCCACTTTTTCCTGCTCTTTTAATTGTTTTGGGGTTTTGTTTTACTACACTAGCAGTGGTTCATGTCCATATATACAAGTCTATTCACTTTTAGAAGGACTTTATTTCACTACAGAACTATCTTAAAATTGCTAAGAAACTTCCAGAAAATATAAATGTCTAAAATACATACCTTCATAACTTCTTCAAGATACCGTGTTGAACTTCCGTTTGCATATGCAGTTTGTACAACACCAATATTCAAGTTTTCTCCAATCTAGACAAAAATAGTAATAATATATAACTTGCCATCAAAAGTGAAAGAAACTATAACAGCAAAAATACCTTGAGCACTGAAAGGTGACAAATTCATCAAGCAGTTCAGCCATACCCTGGTTTATGTAATAAATGACATGTTGTTGTGTTGATTGTCTTTGAGTCAAGCACGACTCATAGCGACCATATGAACAAAAGGCCTGAAGCCCCTCTACAACTATCGACATTTATCAAAGTTCAAAGAATTTCTTCTTGAGGCATGTTGTTTAGAAAGTGGATGCCAATCCTGCTTCCAAACCTGTCACAGAATGTTACTGGTTGAGTTGCCTGTGATGCACAGCGACCCTATGTACAGCAGCTCTGAACCCTTCCCTGTCCAGACCCAGTCTCACTAATTCTGACTCACTAACCCTCATTGCCCCAGGTACTGTATCAATCCATCTCATCCGGGCTCTTCTTCTCCAGCGCTTGTCTGTCCACCCTTCTGAGCATGGTGGCCTGCTCCAAAGACCAATCTCTCCTGGCCAAATGCCCAAAGTGAGGAAGAGCTTCAAAATCTTAGCTTCCAAGGAGAAATTTGGTTTCACCCTCTTCAAGACAGACCTATTTGTTTTTATTTTGGAGTCTATGCTATGTTCAAGACTCTTCTCCAGCACCACAACTTGAAGGCATCTATTTGTCTTCTGTTACCTTTAGTCATTGTCTAACACTCTGAAGCATAACAAGTAATTGAGAAGCACAGCCTGGATTAAGCACACCTTCTTATCTAGACTGACATCGTTGCTCTTCAGCACTCTGGAAAGGTCCATGACAGCAGACTATCCCAATGCAATTCATCTTTTGATTTCCTGACTGCTGGTGTTAAAAGTGTTGATTGTGGATCCGAGCATGCTGTAATTGCTAACCTCAATCTCTTCTCCATCTATTATGGTGCTGCCAATCGGCCCAGTGGTGAGAATCTTTGTCTTCTTGATATTGAGCTTCAATCCATATTGAAGACTATAATACTTTTGCAGCAAGTACTTCAGGTTTTCTTAAGTTTCAGCAAGCAAGGTTGTGTCATCTGCGTATCGCAGGTTGTTAATGAGTCTTCCTCCAATCTTGATGTCACACTCCTCGTAAAACCTTGCCTCCCGAATAATCTGTTCTGCATATAGACTGAAAAGGTATGGGGACAGAATGCATCTTTGATGCACTCCCTTCCTTATATTGAAGCATGCAGTGTTTCCTCACTGTCTTCTTGGTCTAAGTATAGCTTCCACATAAGCACAATCAACTGCTCTGACATTCCCATTTTCCTGAAGGTTAGACACAATTTCTTGTGATCCACAAAGTCAAATGCCTTTGCATAGTCAATGAAATACAGACAGACTTTCTTTTGGTACTCTCTGCTCTCTGCCAAGATCCATCTGACATTGGCAATAATATCCCTAGTGCTACGACCTTTTCCAAACCCAGCTTGTATTTCTATTAGTTCTCTGTCAGTGTACTGTTCAAGTCTTTTCTGGATAATCTTCAGCAGGATTTTGCCAGTTTGTGATATTAATGATATTGTACAATAATTTCCACTCTGTAAGGTCACCTTTTTTTTGGAATGAGAACAAATATACATCTCTTCCAATCAGTTGGCCAAGTACTTGTCCTCCAGATTTCTTGGCACAACTTGGTCAACACATGCAGGGCAGCATCTGTTTGCTGAAATACATGAATTGGTATTCCATCAATGCCTGAGGTTTTATTTTTTGCCAAGTCCTTCAGAGCAGCGTAAACTTCCTCCTTCATCACCAATGCCTCTTGATCATGTTGTTTCTTGAAATTCTTCTGTGTCAGCCAATTCTTTTTAATGACTCTGTATACTCCTTCCAATTTCTTTTAATATTTCCTGAATCATTCAATATTCTGCTTATAGCATCCTTACTGAATATTTACATATAAACCAGAGAAAAGACTAAAGTGTTTTTAAACACTATTTCTATAAACAGAATTCTATAAGTATCCTTTATAAAATAAAGAACCTGTGACATGAACAATCATTTGATCTTTGTCCCCTTTTTAAAAGAAAATTGTTTCTCTAATCCTAGTATTAATGGAATTATTAAAGTAAAAGTATCTTTACTAAATTATTATAATTATTTCCTATTACACTTTATCAAAGCCAGTCTGAAAGCTACTTCAAAAGACTAAAAACATCTCACATTTTACAAAGCTTCTCACTATCATAATAAATAATAAAGCTCTAAGAGAGCTTTTTGGTTTAGATTTTAGTATCACTAAAGTAGAAGTTATGGAAGAAGTGAAAACTTCCTCAAGTTTCACATAATAAGATGTTGCCAGTTGGATGAGCTCTGGTGGCATACTGGCAAGAAGCTGCACTGCAATCCCAGAGATGTGCAGTTCAAATCCACCAGATGCTCTGCTGAAGAAGAAGGAACAATTGCCTCCTGTACCAGTCAGATCCAATTGGACGGTACACACATAAATAATTTTTTAAAAAATTAAAGAAAAAAAAAGTTGCCAGTTAGAGAAAGAAAAATGTATCCTCAGCCTCCACTGTTGAAATGACTAAGTGTAACTTTACCATTTTATAGCCAGAGTAAGAAACTTTCCATCAGTTACACCTCTTCAAAAGGCAGTCTGAGATAGAATCATTTTAAAAATTAGTTTGTTTTCAAGGGTAATCAATTTCTCCACATACCTCCAGCAGAAGCTCTTTAAGAAAAGTGCTAATTAACGTTGCTATTTTATCTCCATCTAGGAGATGAAAATGACCATCAGCATCTCGGTAGTAATACACAATTCTGTCTGCATCTCCATCAAAGGAACAGCACCTTTCATTAGACTTCATTTCCATTCCTAGAACAGAGAATTAAAGTCTCGTTTCAGTAAACAAAGATTTAGATTTTTCCTTTATGAAAGGTGACTTTTTTTACAGTCAAGTAGATCACAGTTGAGCTGATGCATTGCAAATATGTCCACCATGATTTTTCCATGAGATATTTAAAACTAGACATAAAAATCAGTGCCTTAACCTTTAAATTCTATACAGGTCTACTGCTGTTTTTTTAAATAAGTCAAATATTTTTACTACAAATTGAAAAAGAAATTTTCAAAATCTACTTACCCTAAAACTTGCTATAATAAGAAAATTAAAATTCCACTTTACAGGTCATAGATATAGTCATATACACCCATATAATACACACATAGCTATCCAGTGACGCAGTCTGGGGTAGTTGTGCTGCTACCTATTTATCTCTATGGCAATTCAAACCTACCAGGACCTTCAAGGGAGAAATACAGGCAAGCTCCTCCTGTGTGATTTACAAGCCTAGGACACGAATGCAGCATCAGCTATAAGTTGGTCCCAACTTAATGGTAATGAGTGAGTTATGAGATACATACATACACACGCCCCAAATACTGCCAAACAGGTGAGGTTTGCTTTACTTCTGATGGAAATAATGTATTTATTATGGACTTTATCTTTCAATATGGCTTTCTTAGCCACCATTTGACTTTGTCAGGTAGACGGGCGTGAATGTGTGAATAGAGTATGTTAGCCTATCCAAAAAGGGACTGGCTAGTCTCACCAATCCACAAAGGGACTGGCTAGTCTCAACAATCCACAAAGGGACTGGCTAGTCTTAGCATTAAATTGAGCAATCCAGCAGCAGAAGGCGAGATTCAGTGAAAAAGGAGCAGCAAGAGAATGAAGGATGCCCTTCAAGAGACACCAGATGTTCCTGCACCAGCTGCATCTACTGCAGCAGCCATGGCCAAACTAGAGGCCTTGGGATGGCTACACCATCAGAACTAGAGCCAAGAGCCTTTGCCCAAGTTTGCTGGACAACTGGGAGCAGACAACTGGGGGACCATAATTTGCAAGACTGAGAACTTTGTAACACTGGCCAAAAGCAGTGAGGCTCAAGCATTTCAGGAGCCATCCTGACTGTATTCTGCTGCCAACCTTGATTGTAACCTAAATTCCTTAGTATGGTTCTGCATGGTCTGTGAGTTTCCACGTTGGATTCTGGACCAGGCAAAGCAGCAGACTGATGTTAAGGTGAGTAGAAAAAGTTATGGAAGCATGGGGACATGTCTGACCCCATGGGAATCTGGTTTTCTTTTCTAGATGGTACTGATGGGGACAGTACGCCTTTGTGAAGCGGAGGCCTTCCTCATCTGGCCCTTTTTCTTTTTACACTTATATATGGAAAAAATTTATAATGAAGAGCAATTATAATTTGAGTTTTTGTAATCTGTAAAAGTTCTCAAAATTCCAAGTGATAGTCATGTCAAATTATTAAAGACAATTTGGCACCACAATGGAATTATTGTACCGTTTTTCCTTCTCACAAACAGTGTCTGAGACTTCTAATCCCTTCACTCTCTGGTTAGCATTTGCTATTTGCTGTTTTGTTGAACTTTGCTATTATTTCTGGGGTGAAAAAACATCTTGTTTTGATTTTCTATATTCCCTAAGGATTTCATTTCCTCATGTGTTTACTGATCATTTTGATGTCTTCTCTAGTGAGGTGTTATTTTATGTCCTCTGCTCAAAAAAGAGAGATCTGCATTTTAATATTATAATCCAGATGAACTAAACTTTTTGGACCTCACCTGAATTAATGGAGCTACACTCTCCCCTCATTTGTGTTCTAATATTTGATTACAAGAGTCATTCAATAAAAGGAAGATAAAACATATAATAAAAAAATTTTGGCTGTTTCTTAGCCTCAACACCAGCAGAAGAAACAGAAAGAAGAAAAAAAAATGGGTTGGTTTGTTGCTTTGTTCCCACCTCCCCCCCGGAGCATAATAATGGCAACCACTGCAACCTCCAAGAAAATGGAGAACTTAGGGGTTTCTGTTCATACGAGCAATCCTTCAAGAGGACCTTCAATTGGTTGATTCAATGTGTGTGACCAAAAGTTGAGCACGTGCGTGTTCCTCTAACATGAAGGTAAATTAGTGAAACAAGCAATGAAGCAATCTGATGAAGTCTGTTAGTTCTGAGAGCACATGTCCTGTTCCTACACTGGGGGGATAAGAGCTATTCAACTGCAACAGACTAGCACCTGAAGTGGCCTTTCCACCTCTATTGAGGAGTCTTAATGTCTTAGTGATATTAAGACATTTCTACAGGGCGACAAATGCAAATGAACTCATGCAAAGCACACTACACAAACACATATATAATAATCTGACCTAAAGTTACCAACCCTGGATCTCTTGTGAAGATAAATCTAGTCTGTGAGATAATTGCGTTCTCTGTCCATACTGTCTGAAATTCAGATAAAGTGAAAGATAATAGTACTTACTGATACTCAGCTCAGTGGGCCATTTAGTGCATTTAGTGTTCTCCAGACTAGTATAATAAACAAACCTTGGGAGCTTGTTAAAATTGCAATTTGCTGGGCCCCACCCAAGACGTGTAAGGTTCCAATCTATTGTTCATAGGGTCTGATCTGCTGTTTATAGGGCTTATATGAGTCGCAGTTGACACAACAACACTTTACAACAAGACCTGCAGAAACAAACTTTGGGAAGAAGTCCAGAATGTGTTTACAAGCCTTGCGGAGATTCTTATGCATGCTAAAATCTAGAGATCATGTCCTTGTATTATAATTTTCTGATCACAATTTTCTCATTTACATTCCCTACACAATGATGTTACAAAGCTGGACAAAGCAGAAACTATTCTGAATAGTACTGTCGAGGAAGAAAATTCCTCTTTCTCTCGTCAGAACCAACTCAATAGCTGACCCTTCAGCAGGCTTTTGGATGTTTTACACTGCACCATGACTGCTCAGCTTTCTCCCTTGAAGCAGCTGGTGGAGTCGAACCACCTGGGTATCTAAAAATGAGAGCTAGGACTAGGTTCATGACTGTACTCTACTGGCTGCATTCCTCTGTAAATGACACAGGCTTCAAAACAAATTGTACAGTGTTAAGCAAACTACATACCTTCAGGAGGTTTCTGCTGACATTTCACAAAATCAGCCCCACATAAATGATTGAGTTTCCCCACAGACCCATCATTAAACAAGCGAACTGACAGCTCCTGAGAGATGTAGTGTTCCATTTCTCTTAGCTTCAGGGCACCTATACCATTTGCACAGTCGACCTTAAGTGTTCGAAATTCATCTCCACAACAAGAAGCCTTCAAAGAAAAAGATACATGGAAGAGACATTTAAGTTATAAAACTGCAAGCAAACTCACTGGAAACTTCAACTCAGCAATTCTATAGGACATAGAACTGTCCTATAAGGTTTCCTAAGATATAATCTTAGGAAAGAGATTTTCACATTTTTTCCCACAGAACAGCTGGTCGATTTGAAGTGCTCCAGTAAGCAGTTGGGCAATTTAACCCCTGAGCCACGAGGGCCTACGCATATAAGCAGGCAAATGTACTCACACACACGTCCCTAGATATGTCCATTATTTCTGTTAACTGGAGTGCCTAGGAAACAATCATGTTCAGATTTTGGTAAAGGAACTGTATGTGTAAACCCTGGTGGTACCTAGTAAGTTATGTGTGCAGCATGAATTCATTAGCCACTCCATAAGCCTCAAAAAAGAGTATGCCAAGTCAAACAAGACAGACAGAAAAGATGGCATCTTTTAATGGAGTACAAAATTTTGTCAAGTCAGAGAGCTAGGAGTTGCACAACATTGTGAATACACTAAATATTACTAAACTGCATACTTTAAAATGGTTGTTTTATTTTTTAAAATCATAATTAATGCTTTTTGCAACAGTGTATTTTCTCACCCATTTGTGCCCATTAATAATGCCTAATGTTCACAGCAGTGTTATTTACCATAGCAAGAACATGGAAACAGCCCAAGTGCACAACCACAATCAAATGGATTGAGAAATTATGGTACATTCGCACAATGGAATACTATGCAGCACACAGGAGCAATGATTTGTTAAATTACTACCTAACATGGGAGGGACTAGAGAGCGTTATGCTAAATGAACTCAGTCTCATAAAGACAAATACTGTATTAAGACCATTATTGTAGAACGAGTACAAGGATCCAAGGGGGCATGTGTCTTCATCATAAGGTCACACTTTTTGTTGGGTGGAGGGAGCATTGGGTAAAGGAAAGGAGAACGATCCAGCGTAAAAAACAATGCAGACAAACTTGATGAAATTTGTAAATGAACCAATATAAAATAATACTAATTATAGTAAAGAGAATGCCTAGGTCCTAATGAAAGTTAGGAGTTCTGGTAGTCTGATGGATAAGGAACTGTGCTGCCAACCTGAAGACACACAGTTCAAATGCACCATCTGCTCTAAGGAAGGATAGGCAATCTCCTCCCTTTGGATTTACAGCCCTTAAAAACCCACTGGAGGTCAGCTGAGTCAGTTCCAATTTGATGGCACATAGCAACCACCACCTTCAGTGAAGGAGATAGTCTACCACTAATTGTTTTCTTGAATTCTCAAAGCCTTCCTGTGGCCAACTATTTAAAAATGTTGCCTGTTTCTAACTACATATGCTTGTACACTGTTGTCTGGCTGTATGTGGTATTTAGGGTTCCTTCCAAATTATTTTTCAACAGCCATTGCCTACATTTTCTTGGCTCCTCCCTGTCAGAACTGTTCTGACAAGGACATGCAGATCTTGTTTTCCCTTCCATCATACTAACCATCTATTTCAGTGCTCTGACTCATCCTGATAGGCTCTAAAATATGTAGACAATGATGCAAGACTCATTAGTTCAGAGGAGAAGGTGCCTTAACAGCACCTTCATTATCTTGAAAACAGATCCTTTCTTTAGCTTGATGCTCTTTCAGCTGAAAATTGGTAAGACATTGAAAAAATCAAGTTGAGGGAGCTTTTTAAGAAATTGAACAGTAACTGCAAGCAATATTGGATAATTATGACTTCAGTTTTGTATCAGTTGAATCTTTGTGCTCTTTTTTTCCCTCCAGATAAACCTTTTCTCACACACACACTTACTTTTTTCAACTGACCTATGTTCATTTATCCAAATTCTAATCATGTTCATTGTTTACCTGTTTGGTAAGTTCCACAAAAGCCTTAGCATGTTTCTGATAGTAACCTTCTATTGTTGCCTTTCCATACTGGCCATTGGTATTTCGACAGTACACCATGTAGTGCAGCTGGGGTGTTGTTAGTAAGCCATAATCTGTCAAAGAAACACAAAAAGAAAATCACATTTAATAAGAGATGTTCTAGAATCAAGTTCATGGTGAGTTGTGCGGCTAACCCAAAGGCTGTGCGTGTGTGTCCATGTACACACACAACTTCAAGGGAGAAAAAAATGGCAGCTTCCTGTGTTATAATGTGCAGCCCTGGAAATCTACTGGAGAATCATGAGTCAGAACCATCTTGGCGCCACTGGATTTGTTGAATCAATAAAAACTAAGTTTAAATAAGATTCATCCTGTAGGAATTCCAAAGTGACAAGTACTCTTTTTTTTCTTTAAAAAAAAGGCATTTCAAAGAGAAAAACAAAACAAGTATTATCCTATTAACAGAGGACCACGGGGATGGGAAAATCAGAAAAGAGGGGATATTAGGGCATGAGGCATGAAATAACCGGCTTACATGTTTTCACAAAAGTAGTTATTAATAATTGTAGGGGTGGGACCCACAATATAAATGAAGAAAATATAATGTAAATGAAAGACTCTATAAAACACTATGTACTTGAATTATAAAAGTAGTAATAATTTTTTAAAAAGCAAATCAGATCGCAGACCCCAAGAATACCTTAGAGACAGGAAGGCAGAAGACATATACCAACAAGGAGTTCCAAGAAGTGGTACTGAGGACGTTACAAATGATGAAAGAAGGTGTTGAAACCATATATGAAAAGGTACGAGAACTAAAAAAAAATTATCACAAGAGAGGGCACAACCAACTCAGTACAAGAAACAACTATAAAGCATGGAAACACAATCCAGAGTATCAGGACCAAGACTGCCAAACTTTTCAACATGTTGGAGGCACAAAAAAAGTAGAGTAGAAAAGATGGAACAATCAGCAAGACAGAAGACAAAAACCTCAATGCAAGATACATAAAGAAAACAGAAGATAGAAGGAAAATGAAGAAAACAACGAATCATTTGGTATGGCATCAAATGAAACAATATACATGTGACTGCAATTCCAGAAAAGGAGGGTTAAAAAAATAAAAGTACTGAGAAAATTGTGAAAGAGGTACTATAACTTTCCTGGTACAAAAAACCAAAACAGTACACACAAGAAGCTCAACAAACTCCAAACACACACAACCCGAAAAGAAAACATCAAGATGTATCATACTGAAATTCTCTAAAATCATAGATAAGGACAGAATAGTAAGAGTAGCAAGAGAAGACCAAAGAGGCACCCAGCAAATTAGAATCAAATGGATTAAACTCTTCTCAGCAGAAGCCATGGGGAAAAAGACAATGGGATGGCATGCAAGATGCTGAAGGAAAACAACTTCCAGCTGAGGCTCCTATATCCAGCAAAGCTGCCCAACAATGGAGGAGAAATTAAGTCATTTGCATCAAAGCAGAAAATTAAAGAATTAGTTAAAACAAAACAAACCCTACAAAAAATACTAAAGGAAGTCTTTCACACAGACACAGCAGACAAAGTGGATGGACCAAAGAAACCAGCAACAATAGCAAAAAACCCCACAGTAAATTGGTGATAATACAACCTTGCCTTGTCAGTAATCAAAATGTGAATGGTGTAAACACATCAACTAAAAGAAAAAGAGAACCATATAGACAAAGTCCATCAATGTTGCTTGCAAGAAACACATTTAGGAAATAAGAAGATGGAGTAAAAAAAAAAGTGGGGAAAAAATATACCAAGAAAATGGTATATTTTATAAATACACATAATAAAGCCAGAGTAGCAACACTAACTTCTGACAAAATGGGCTTTAGGAGGAAAAGCACCATCAAAAATAAGGAAGGACACTATATAATGATTAAAGGCACAATAAACTAACAGGACATAACCTTAGTTAACATTTATGCACTTAATGATATAGCTGTAATACATAAAACAAAGATTAACAGTCCTGAAAAAAGAAAAAGACAACACAATAGTAGTAGACTTCAACGGACCATTCTCACCAAGGGACTGGTCAAAACTATACCATCAGCCAAATCCGTATCATACATATTCAGAGTACTTCACCCAACAAAAACAATTTACTTTCTTTTCAAAGTACATTCTCCAGAATTAAGTACATACAAGTACATAAAGCCTCAACAAAACACTGAAGTAATAAAAAATACCTTCTCGGACCATAATGCCACAAAGCTAGAAATTAACAAGATAAAGGGGCAAGGGGGAATCACCCACATGGAAGCTATACAGCACATTGCATGAGCACTACCAGGTTATAGAAGAAATAAAAAATTAAATTAAAAAAGTTCTTGAAAATGAAAATATACTACGTCAAAACCTCTGGGATACAGCTAAGGTAGTTCCATAACAATAAGCAAACATGTAAAAAAAAAAGGAGCTAAAGAAACTAACTCAACACCTCCAGGAAATAGAAAAAAAGAACAAACAGCTTATCCCACAGCCTTGAGAAGGAAGGAAATGATAAGGATTGAAATAAATGAGACAGAAAGAAGAAAAGCAACTGAAACCATCAACAAAACAAGGAGCTGGTTTTCTAAAAGGGTTAAGAAAATAGACAAGAGCCTAAAAGACATTATGCTAAGTGAAATATCTCAGTCAAAAAAGAACAAATATTGCATAGTACCACTGTTATAAAATAGGATGGACATGGGAGTGGAGAGAGAATAGGGAAACAGTGGAGAGATAAACACTGCATTGGAACACATATGAGGGGAGAACTGTCTGAGAAGAATATATGATTAGATAGTATATATATATGACAACAATCTGGAATAGCGAGTCACTGCAAAGTGGACTTGGGGTGAGGGAAGGAAGAGGTAGGGAGGGAAACATATAATAATGAACAAATGAAAATGCAATCTTTCTATAAAATCAACTAGATTTTATATCTATCAAATCAACTAGAAATATTTTTTAAATAGAAAAAATACCCACTGTCAAACTTAACAAAAAAAGACACAAGTAACTTGAATACAAATCAGAGGTAACATCACAAAAGAACTAGCTAATATTATGATAATATTGTGAAATGCAGCAGTCCAATAACTTTGAAAACCTAGAGGAAATGGACAAATTCCTAAAAACCCACATTCTACTGAAATTGACAGACACAGAAGTGGAACACTTGAACAGATACATCACAAAGAAAAAACTGAGCAGGTCATTAAGACTCCTCCCAGAAAAAAATTCCTAGCCCAGACAGTTTCATGAGTGAATCCTACCAAACATTCAGAGATAAATTATTCTACTTAAATTCTTGAATTCTAATTAAATTATTTCTAAGAAACAGAAAATACTTAAATTATTTTTAAAAAACAGAAAAGGAAGGAATACACCAAGTCATTCCATGAAGCAAGCATAACACTAATACCAAAATCAGGCAAAGACATCAGCAAAAAGAAAATGACAAACCAATCTCTCCTCATTTTGTTAAAATCCTGACAATACAATCCAACAGTATATTAAAAAACTAATTCATCAGCCAAGTGGGATTCAGAACAGAAATGAAAGTAAAAGAAAAATAAATGAAAAACAATTACTATAACACATCACATTACTAAGGCGAAGAAGAATAGCATGATCCTATAAATTATGTAGGAAGGGCCTTTAACAAAATTCAACCTCCTTCCTGATTAAAAAAACTGAGCAAAAATGAATAGAGGGGAATTACTTCAACATAGTGAAAAGTATATATGCAAAAAAGCACAAGCCAACACTATTCTCAATGAAAGGAGAAAGATAAACAATCTCCTCCCCTGCGATTTACAAGGTCTGAAAGCAAGCTATGAGTCAGTTCTGGCTCTATGGCACATAACAGTAACAATATTAGGGGCAACAGTTATTAGTAGAGACCAACAACTGATTCAACAGGTAATAAACTATTTGTTATACCTAACATTGAAAAAGACTCTCCAACAAGGGCATCTTCAAGCAACTTCAAGGGTTTCTGTACTTTATGGAAGATGTACATGACAAGATTTCCTACCTATAGCATTCCCATATAAATTGTATTTTACACCAATAATTATCTTTTTATAACATTTTTATCTGTATTTTGAAACTTCAAAAAATTTTAATTTTTTTCTATTAGATTAATTTTGCTCTTGAATATTTAACTTTTAAGTTACAGTTTATGTTTGACTACTTACCATGGAACTGAGCTCCCAAAACAATCACACCATCTATTACAGATTGTGCAAGTTTCTCACTGCTGGGCCTAGTGAAGAAAGAAAAAATCAAGACTTGTTTGTTCTGAAAAGAAAAAGTTTGTGCTGCAAATTTCAAGATAAAAAAAACATCATTATATTTTAGGTAAAGCCTATGAACTCGGAAAAGCCCGCTGTTTTGCAAGTTCTTAGTTAGCTGGCTAGAATCTGGGCTCACAGTAACCATACAGGACAAAGCAGAGGTGCACCATGTGCTTTCCCAGGCCATAAATGTTTAGAGGCAAACTGCCACATTTTCTCACGCAGAGCAGCTGGCAGCTTCAAAGCACCAACCTCTGGGTAAGCAGCTGAGCAGTTACCTTATTAAACTCTTGGGCACCTTTACCCTCTGAAAAGTCAATGGCAAATTACAAACATTTTCCAGCAACTGTCCACTTCCATAATAGCTTGCCTCTGGAAACCCTATGAACTTGGAGAGAGGATGAAAGGCACCCAAGCGTCAAGGACTCTTCTTCATAGGGTCGCTATGAGTCACCTGCGACTCGAGGGCACTTAACAACAATAACATCCACAGAGAGAGAGAGAGAGAGAGAGATCAGCTGGCCCAGCGAAGAGAAAACGATGTGACCAAGACAAAGGTGGGTGACTTTTAGTTCGCGGCCCTCAGGCCAGTCATTCATTGTTTTTGTTCAGACATTCCTCTAGGTCGTATAGCCCTGGTGTACAAGTCCCACGGTCACTTGTGGTTGCTGTGAGGCTGAACATTGTGACACGGATGCGTCAAATGCGTTAATGGTTGGCTACCCAATGTGGACTGAGTGGGGTGGAGCTCCCCGATTGAACAAGCGTGGAAGGAGGAGTGGCGTCAACTTCCATAATAGCTTGCCTCTGAAAACCCTATGAGTCTGGAGAGAGGATGAAAGGCATCCATGCGTCAAGGCCTCTACTTCATAGGGTCTCTATGAGTCGCCTGATACTCGACGGCACTTAAAAACAACAACAATAACCGCCTACTATGCTGTCAAAGATCACAATGTTAAATAAGTGCTGTCTAAAAGATCACTTTGGTAAAGCAATTTGGTAAAGAGTTTTTGAAAACTCTAAGAATTAACAAAGTGAACAGAAATTTCCTCTCAAAAGGATTTCTGAGTAAACTTCATGCAAAAGGCATTTTGAATCTTACATTTTATTGAGGGAGCTGTGGTGGCCTAGTGGCAAAAGGCGGCACTACAATCCCAAAGGCATGAAGTTCAAGGCCACCAGCTTCAATCAATATTTGAAGGCTGTAGTCCTTGACCCTCTGCAGCAAGCACTTCAGTTCCTCCTCAGTTTCAGCAAGTAGGGTTGTGTCATCTGCATAACACAGATTGTTGATGGATCTTCCACCAATCCTAATACCATACTTCCCCTCATAGAGCCCAGCCTCTCAGATGATCTGTTCTACATCCCTACCATACACCCTTCCCAATTTTGAACTATGCAGTGTTTCCTTGCTCTGTTCTGACGAATGCCTCCTGGTTCGAGTATAGGTTTCCCATTAGCACGATCTAGTGTTCTGGAATTCCCATTCTTCTCAGAGTCAGTCACAGTTTGTTATGATCCACACAGTCAAACACCTTTGCATAACCAATGAAACATAGATAGAGATTCCTCTGGTATTCCCTGCTTTCAGCTAAGATCCATCTAACATTAGCTACAACATCCCTAGTACAACGACCCCTTCTAAACCCAGCCTGGACTTCTGGCAGGTCTCTGCTGATGTGCTGTTCCAGTCATTTTTGGATAATCTTCAACAGAATCTTGCTTGCATGTGAAATCAATTATATTGTTCTATAATTTCCATACTGTGTTGGGTCACCCTTCTTTGGAATGGGTACAAATATAGATCTCTTCCAGTCATTTGGCAAAGTGGTTGTTCTCCAGATTTCTCAGCACAACTTGGTGAGCACGTCCAGGGCTGCATCTGTTAGTTGAAATAAGTCAATTGGTATACCAATTTCTCGGGTCCTTATTTTTTGCTATTTCCTTCAAAGCAGCTTGAACTTCTTCCTTCATCACCATAGGCTCTTGCTCATATGTTGTTTCATGAAATTCTTCTGTGTCTGCCAACTGCTTTTGATACAGTGACTCAGTATATTCTTTCCATCTTCTTTTAATACTTCCTGAATCATTTAATATTCTGCCTACAGCATCCCTGATTATAGAACCTTGAGGTTTGAATTTGTTCTTCAGTTCCTTGAGCTTAAGAAATGCTGAGCGAGTTTGGCCCTTTTGATTTTCTGACTCCAGCTCCTTGCACATTTCACATATCACACAATGGTATGATACAGATTATACAAATCAATCCCTAGAGTTAATGTGATATGGACTTGCTGTAAAGAAAAAAGGAACTTACGGAAGCTGAGGTAGAGGAAGGAGGTGGAAAATTCTAAGTTCCTCATGCCAAGAAATAGGTACTTTGCAGACATTACTTCAATTAATTTACACAAAAGCCATGTGATAGGACTTATCATTATGCAAATGAGGAAATAGAAACCCCAACAGGTTAGGTGATCTGCTCAAATCAGGTATGAAGTGTAACTACCAGAGATGGAGTCTAAAATACACCTTGCAACAGTTACTAATACAGTATTTTTTAGTTGCCATGGAGTCGATTATGATTTCTCAAAATCTAGTGTCAGACTACCAATAAGGAAGGAAAAAACATGGGTTTACTTGTGATAACTTTCTAATCTCTAGCGAGTAATTAATATTTTTAAGATTGTTTCTAGGTATGGCTGGTATCAGCTCCTCTCAAAGTTTCTTTCAAATTTATAATCCCTGTCAGGGTTGGAATAAGCAAGGCAAAGCCAAAAGGCACAGGCTAACTTGAATATACTAATCCGTAGTGAACAGTTTCAGACATTTTTCACATCAAGATGTTTAAGAGCTACTTTTGGGTGAATTTAGGCTGCTAAACTTTTAGTTAATGTTGAAGATTTAACCATTTGTGCCACCTAGCTGCTGAACTTACTCCTACACCTCACTATTAAATTTAGGTCAAGAAGCTATTCAACACTGCAATCCCAAAGGCACTTGGATCAAATCCACTAGATGCTCCACTGGAAAAGGAGGGACAATCTCCTGTACCAGTCGGATCCGATTCAATGGTACACACACGCACATACAAAATAATTTAAAAAAAGCTACTCAAAACAGTACACAAATGGACTCATTCACTGACATCATGTTACCAAGAAGTTCCCATGCTTACCGAGTATCTCTAGCAATCACTACGAAGGCATCTTGTTGCAAATTCACTGCCTCTTTCTCAATGATGGCCACCAGGGTTCTCTGCATGTCCTGCTCTTCAACATTTGTCAAACAGGTAGCATGTTCCTCCCAGGATGGTGCCAACATTTCACCCAAAGGATCTATCAATTTTACACCATTATCTTCCTTAAAAGAAAAACAACAAGCCATCTGTGCATGTTCCTGAGTATGAGTTTATGAAGTCAAGTGTATTCTACTTTCCCCCTGACAATGACAGAACTGATTCAACAGGGTCCAGATTAAACCCCAGGAGCTCGACTGAGTATTTTCTATACATTAGCTCATTAGATCTTTAAGATCATTAACTCATGAGATCCTTATAAACATATAAATCTCTTTATGAGAAAACTGAACTTTAGAGTAGCTAGGCAATTTGATTATGTTCCTACAGCTAATATCAGTTCAGTGCTGACAGTAACGATCAGACTAAATCTAACCACCAGCCGGCTTCACTGGCACTCATCATTAATAACCGGAGCACATTGCAGTGGACTGAGCCCCCAAGTAGCCTTCTCCATGCAGCCCCTACTGCAAGAACATAGTGGTCACCCAACCTTTCAACTAGTGGGTAGCAGAGAAACTGAAAAGTGACTTCCAACTCTATTCTGTTCAAATACCTGGAAAGAAAATATAGGGAGGAGTGAACGCCAACTGAAGGGAATAGTTCTGAATGGAAATGGTTTTGAATTAGGTTTCAATTTCTCAAAATTAACAAATTTGAGGTACTTCCTCTAAGTCACTAATCAATTATGGAGATTTTTACATATAGAAATGTACACATTTATCACAATCACACATTTTGAATTGGACAGTGTCCTCTTGTTCAGGAGAATGAAGGGGTTATAATTTTTCACCGACTTACAGCTTTAATTTCCAACTATTTTGGTTATAAAGGTAAAATGTCTTGGCATCATACAGAAGAATATTATCTAAAACTATGTACTAATGAATTCTATGTAGTACACAATAAAAACGATTTCTTTTATTATATACTTTTCAGATAAATGAAAACTACTGTGCCTCATCAATATTCTGCCCAAACCTCATTTTTGGATCCCTGAAGCTACTTTGTTAGCTACAAAATGAGGGCAGGAAACTAGTCCCTGCTGTCAGAAAGCTAGGCTGAAAATATTCAAAACAAGATGACTTTTCAATTGATTGTCCTACCCGCCTCTCCTACTTTTTTTTACTCATTACTTCTAAGTCAATCTGTTTTCTTACTAACACTGTCTCAACACATTTAACTTGGAAGAACATTCTGTTATTTCTCTAACATGGACACACTCCAGAAACTGACAGTCTCTCATTCATTTCCTCACACCCTAAAGGTCATGCTCTAAATTACCAAGAAAAACTTGTTTCAAATTCAAAGGCACAAAATAATGAAAAGGCACTTTCCTAGAATCAGAATTTGTCCTCTAGGTTAAGCTTTACCATGTACCATGCATTTACTATTGCACACAGAGGTTGCTCTGTAAGACTACTAACTTACCTCCGGATTGTGTGAGGCAGTTACCATGACTCCTATAGTCGACTGTGTCTGTTTTGACCTCAGGACAGCCAATAATCCCATTCGAAACATGACATGATCAAGATGTTCTGCTTTCGATCGAAATCCAGCAGTCCCATACTGAAGAATGAGTCCGCTGGGCTTAGCGTGTAACGTAGAGAATTTTGCAATAGCATCTAAATCCATGTCTACAAAATTATAGAATAATTTTCAAATAAGGCGATGTCTTCAATGACCTTTTCCTTCAAACTGTTTCTCTACCCCATTAAGTCTGCCTCACTCTGATCCTCTCAAAAGGTTATGTTTCTGAGAGGAAGTAGGATTAGTTTATAAATGCTAGGGGCTACAATTACCTACCTGGGAGATGCACCCAACTTCAGAGCAGAAATCTGCCCCTAAGGGTAAGGATGACATCTGTTTCACAAGTCTTGAGTGTATTTTCTTTTTTTAAAAAAACAAAAAACTGACCAGTTATTCTGTAACATATTTCAATTATTCCTTAAGCCACAAACTATTTCTGCTAAATCCACAAATATAAAAAATTTCAAGTCAAGATAAATTATTTCCACCCTTAAATGTGTTTCAGTTCCTAAAAGGTAACATTCACTGAGCATGCTCAATGCTTTACCTAAACATGTATTTTCCAAATTCAAAGTGTCTCTTCTTTAAAGAAAAAGTATTCCCTTTCTCACCATTCAATTTTTAAAAACTCATGTGGATCCCTCCTCTCTATTATCTACTTTCCTCTAATAGGGAGACCTCAAACAGACAGGGGGATGTGCTGAGCTCAGGGGTGCATTCTAGGGGAAGTATAGAGGGTATGAAGACTGAAACTTTTTAACACTCCTCAGAGCTATTATTAATTCCCAATTAAAAGGATGTCCTTTTGTAAGCAGGTATATAATGAACTGCTGCCAGTTTTTGTTTTTTTTAAAAAAGTTGCTTAACTGCCCCCAAGCAGATATATGCACATCCATGTTTACTGTGGCTTTGTTTGCAATCGCAAAGACCCGAAAACAACCCAAATGCCCATCAACAAACGAATGGATAGAAAAGCTTTGTTATATTCATAAAATGGAATACTATGCAGCATTGAAAAACAAGGGACTCATGAAATATTATTCAAAATGGGTGACCCTGGAGGACATTATGCTGAGTGAAACATCTCAGTCACAAAAGGACAAATATTGCATAGGGCCACTGTTGTAAAACTGGCATCGGGAATGAGGGAAGACTGAGAAAGAGGGGATAAATAAGGTATACTGCATTGAAACAGATGAGGGAGAGAACTGTGTAAAAGGGATATATGATTGGATATTGTTGTCATGACAGGAGTCCAGAATGAAGGTTGCACAGTGCACAGTGGAGTAGACTTGGAGGAAGGGATTGCATAACAATGAAAGAGTTTTCTTTTACTTTTCAAGGAGAAGAGTGAACTGGGGGAGAGGGAGTGGGCAGGGAGAAAAGTGCAACAACGAATGAATGGAAACCCTAAGTCTTTGTAAACTTTCATAAAAAATAATTAAAAAGATAAAATTAATCACCTATGGAGGAAAAAAATCCAGTTGCGGATTTTTGTCCAATTTCTTGACGCTTTAGTTACAGCACTGTAGTACAGTGTGATAGTTTTTGAGAATGAGGGAAAATGAGAAAAATGTTAAAAAAGCTTCCGCTTCAGTTAAAACGGAAGTTTTAATAATGCTATAATTCAATGCTTTTCGCAATTTTGTTTTTAGTAGCGTATAACCTAAGAAAAATTACTTGTAAGCAATTTGATACTACATCACATATTACTCTGATTAAAATGACATTACTAAGGATTCCACTGGTCTGGTCACGGCGGTGGTCCCGGGACAGGGGAGGACCCCTGGCACCAGGAGGAGCCCGGGCACCACTGGCCGGAATAGGAGTCCTGAGCCACGTCCGGGCACAGTAGCCAGTGGGTGTGTCCTGCAAGCAATTGTAACTCAGGAGTGAGCGTGTGGGTAGCTGGGCCTACGGCTGCCCTAGTCCGTTTTGTTCCCCACCTCTGTGTGCAAGACCTCCCAGCTTCAAACCCAATCCGAAGGTCCCGCTTACCTCTTCTAACAGCGGCCCTTCGGCTCCACAGCGCGCACGATCAGCTCCACCGCGCAAATGACCCCCTCCACCGAACCGGGCCGCAGACGTGGCCTTCCGCGGCTTCCGTCATGTGGCCACGCCCCTCAACCAATCACAGCGGCGGAGCGCCTGCTGACCCCGCCCCGGCCTCCGTCCGCTTGCACCCGCGCCTGCTGAAAGGAGGTTCGGACTGAGTGCCTGAGGCAAGCCATTTCATAAGTGGATGCTACTCCTGTTTCCAAGCTTGTTTTAATTGGGAAACTCCATGAAACACCATGGGTAACCATTATCACATTTGGCACATCAGAGTTCATTTAAAAAAAAAATGTAGTTAGGAATTAAAAAATTCATATCATTGCACTATCACATTATTGGAAGAAACAAACTTTACACTTGAGTAATAAGTCAAAACCCCCTCCTAAAAATCCCAAGCTTCACAAGTTTTTCTAGCCTTTCTCCAAGTGGAGTAACTAAAAATATAGGTTGTTTTAATGATTAAAACACTTAATTAGTTATTGCCTTTCCTTCCCTGGCTGCTAATTTTATACTACGGTCTAGTAGAAGGAAGCCAGTACAGTGGTATAAGTGCCCTGAAAGTTTACAGAACTGATGAAAATGTTCATTTTGTCTGGTATACAGATGGGTCACTGAGTGAGTTAGAAGATGTAACTTCCCAGTGGACACTAATCAGGCCCTCACTCAGCCCATTCTATGACCAGAAGGCCTGAACTGAACCTATATTGTTCTGATTTCTTGGCTCAGAATGAGATTCCTTCAGGACACAACTTGGACCTTTAAGTCCAGGCTCTCTATCGGTCTGCACTGTAGGATCACCCAGTTTGTGCATTTATGTGTTTATCCTAGCTCTGAATAGGGCAGGACTCAAGCTAGGGGAGACTTGACCAATTTACAAAGGGGAAAAACAGTACTTACTTACATTTCCAAAGACTCGTTTCTCAATTTTTACAATGACTAAAAAACCATACAAGTTATTTTTCAACATAATTTCTCTAAGACTCAGCAAGTTTAGTTAGAATTATAGTAGTCCATGGTCTTTGCAATTACTTGCTATGCATCACAAAGCTGGACAAGGACTAGGGATGATAGAGAATTGACGCCTTTGAGCTGTGGTGTTGGAGAAGAGTATTGAATATACTATGGACTGCTAGGAGAACAAGTTAATCCTGGAGAGGGTGAAGGCAGGCTGCTACTTGGGGGGCAAGGATTCTGAAGCTCTGTCTGACACACTTTGGGCATATTGCAAGGAGGGACCGGTCCTGGGAGAGGGATGTCATCCTTGGGAGGGTGTAGGGACAGTGCAAGAGAGGAAGACCCTCAATGAGATGGATTGTCTCAGTGACTGGGGTAAAGGGGGTAGGGCTGTTAGAGACAAGAACATTGGCACAGGACAGAGCAGAGTTTAGGGCTGTTGTACATAGGGTCGCTATGAGTCGCAAGGGACTGCATGACACATAACAACAAAGGCAAAAACATTATACAACAAGTTGTTAAATCCTTACACAAGTTTAACTCCAATTAACCTTTCTTTTTTTGAAATAAAACATCACTACTCATTTATAGAGATTTGATTGGTTGGTTGGTTTTGTTTTTGGGGTTTTTTTTTTCCTTCCAAAATGACTAAAGCTGATTCAAAGCGTAAACAAGCTTTAAAAACAAAATATTGTTGTCACACGGTTCGAATCCACCAGATGCTCTGCCGGGAAAAGGAGAGACAATCTCCTCCTGTACCAGTCAGATCTGATTTGACGGTACAC